CTCGGCCGCAGGGCGGCTCGGCGACTCGACGGCTGGGCGGCTCGGCTGCTGGGCGGCTCGGCTGCTGGGCGGCTCGGCGGCTGGGCGGCTCGGCTGCTGGGCGGCTCGGCTGCTGGGCGTATCGGCGGCTGGGCGGCTCGGCTGCTGGGCGGCTCGGCTGCTGGGCGGCTCGGCGGCTGGGCGGCTCGGTTGCTGGGCGGCTCGGCGGCTCAGCGGCTGGGCTGCTCGGTTGCTGGGCGGCTCGGCGGCTGGGCTGCTCGTAGGAGTAGGCGTGGGGGCCGTAGGAGCAGGCGCCGGGGCCGTAGGAGCAGGGGCCGGGGCCGCTAGGGCGGCGGATCGGGGCCGCGAGGGCGGCGGATCGGGGCCGCGAGGGCGGCGGAGTAGGGGCCGCGAGGGCGGCGGAGTAGGGGCCGCGAGGGCGGCGGATCGGGGCCGCAAGGGCGGCGGATCGGGGCCGCGAGGGCGGCGGAGTAGGGGCCGCGAGGGCGGCGGATCGGGGCCGCGAAGGGCGGCGGATCGGGGCCGCGAGGGCGGCGGAGCGGGGCCGCGAGGGCGGCGGATCGGGGCCGCGAGGGCGGCGGATCGGGGCCGCGAGGGCGGCGGAGCAGGGGCCGCGAAGGGCGGCGGAGTAGGGGGGGGCCGCGAGGGCGGCGGATCGGGGCCGCGAAGGGAGGCGGCCGGCGCCGCGAGGGTGGGGCCGCGGGGTCGCTAGGGTAGGGCGACAGAGCCGCGAGGGCGGCTCGAAGGGGCCGCGAGGGCGGCGCGAAGGGGCCGCTAGGGCGGCGCGAGAGAGGGGAGCGCGACTCGGGCAGGGGCTGAGTGCGCTCCGGGCAGGAAAAAAAACGGTGGGCCCTAGGAACAGTTCCCACGAGGGAACCTGCTCGATACCATGAGAAGAAACAAGGAATGAAATGACTAAGGGAAAGTTGGGTACAAAATACAAACCCTAGAAAACTGTACCCCATATGTGCTACCCCACTATAGCCTACAGTAGCTCTGTCATATAAATCTGACAAGAAGGGGGAAAAGAAAGAGTGAGAAGGGAGGGGGGGGGAGGCAATGGGTATGCAGGAAGGAAAGAAAGGATGAGCAGGGGGGAAACAATGGGTAAGCAGGAAGGAAAGAAAGAGTGAGCAGGGGGAAACAATGGGTAAGCAAGGGGGAAAGAAAGAGTGAGCAGGGGGGAAACAATGGGTCAGCAGGGGGAAGAGAAAGAGTGAGCAGGGGGGAAACAATGGGTAAGAAGGGGGAAAAGAAAGAGTGAGCAGCGGGGAAACAATGGGTAAGCGAGGGAAAAGAAAGAGTGAGCAGGGGGGAAACAATGGGCAAGCAGGAGATAGGACGGAAAATTCGCATTGTTTTGCGGCCGGAGGTGCGATGTGAGAGAGGAACCAGTGGATACTGGAGAATGCCTTATCGCCCCCTCCACCCTCCTCCCCCCGCCCCCCTTCGCCCCCTTCTTGCTGCTTATTCCCTCTCCTCCCCTCCCTGCGGAGATAACTCTGGCAACAGGAGCTAGTCTACGAGCTAGGCACGGGTGTGAGGGTGATCTCTGCGTTCGTTCCTTAGTCGTTTGCTTGTGTGTTCTCTGCTTGCACATTCACAGGGAAAGTTGGCAAGAGTTCCACTAGCAAAAGTTCACAACAATGGTACACAATGGCAAGGCAACAATGACTACATCAGATGCTAGCATGTAAGCTGGTCGATTGCCAGCGCAGCACAGTCGACCGCGGTCCAGCACGACATGGTCGACCGCGCTCCAGCAAAGCAAAGTTGCTGTCTGCCAACGCTACAGGTCGACGCCGTACCAATACTGCATCATTGTGGCTGGATAGCGTTGCTCCCGCAGAACAACAGCGCATCTGCTTCGCAGGTGCTCGCGGCTGGTTGGCATCCTGTGCCTCGACACCTGCACAGCACAGACGCCCCGCCGACCACGTGTCTACGACTGCACCTGATCCTCCACGTCGACCTCGGGATACCACACTGAGGTCGGCCTTGCCACAAACACCTGGGCGACCGTCGCGTGCCTCCACAGAAACCCATCCCCTGGGTAACCTGGTCGACTGGGCCACCCCGACGACCTACAGCTTCAGTGCGGTGCTCGGCGACCACCCATGTTGACGACCAACAGCTCGGCGCCATGAAGTCGGCGCCTCCAGGTCAGCCTCACCAGGTCAACCCCCCCTCTGGTCGACCGGCTCCAGGCCGACCAGCACAGCTGTTAGCTGACCGCGCCAGGCCCGCTTCCCCAAGTCGACGTCACCAAGTTGATGCCTCCGATGTCGACCTCACCAGGTCGACCACCCGAACTCGGCGCCCCCCAAATTCTGCGCCCTTGCAGTGGCCTCCGTGCAGGTCGACCAGCCTCGTCGACTAGCTCGCCCACTAGGTCGACTAGCCAGCCTCGGCCAGCCTCCGTGCAGGTCGGCTAAAACTCCCGCACATCTGACCACAAGGTCGGCTCTGCCCAAGAGAGGACGGGGACAACCACAACTCCCGTTGACAATCCCATACGGCAGTCCCACTCGGAGAATAGCCTGTCGGCGTGCACACAACACACAGCACGCCGGTCACCGCACCAGCCATGCAGAAGGGCACGGTGCCTACTGCTGCACGTCGACGTCGCCATCGCCGACTTCGGCCAGGCGCACTTGGCCGATCGCGACGGAGCACCGGTTGAAGGCCGGATAGTGCAGCGCCTTTGTCAGGACGTCGGCCGGCTGCTCGGTGGCCGGGATGTACTTTAACGAAAACTTCCCACACTTCACCATGTGCAGCAGCCAGGCGTAACGTCGCTCACATGCTTTAGGTTGCCCATCAGCCCCATGCCCTCGGCGACAGTGATGGCCGACTTGTTGTCCACCCGAAGGACAGTCGGCTTCCCGGCGTCGAGCTGCCGGAACTCTGCAAGGAGGAAGCGAAGGCGGCGTCCCTCCTTGCCGCCTTCAGTGGTCGCCACGTACTCCGACTCGGTCGACGACAGGGTTGCAGACTTGATGCGCTGGCTCGACAAGGAGACGGCGGCCCCTCCGTAGACGTACACGTAGCCGCCCGTGCTCGTCCGGTTCTACTTGTCGCCGGCGTCGTCGGCGTCCACGTAGCCGACCTGCTCCAGTGTCTCTGGTCCACCGCTGAACTCCAGGGAAGTGTCGCGAGTGTTGGCGAGGTAGGAGAGGCAGCGGTCGACCTCGCGCCAATGCTGGTCGCTCCTCACCGCGAGGCCGCTGCCCAGCTTGCTGCAGGCAGACGCCATATTTCGCCTCGTCATCGTCGCCGCAAACTGCAGCGAGCCGACCTTCTACCGGTACTCCTCCTCCTGGCACTCTTGTGCCTAATCGTCGAACGTCAGCTCGGCGTATGCGTCGACAGAGACCAGCGTCTCTGAGGTGCGCCCGGTCTGCAACTCGTCGATGAACCACCTGCGCAGCTTGTCGGCATAGTTCTGCTGGTGCAGCCACAGCTTCCTCGCCCGCCTGTTGCGCACGTTCTCCAGCCCGAGGTATATCTCCACCGGCGAGATCTCGTGCGGCTTGAAAGCCGCCTCCAGCAACTCCTTCAGCTCCATCAGCATCACGGTGCTGCTATTAGCGGCGAGCAGGTCGTCGACGTAGACCAGCACCCACCAGGCCACTTTGTCGTCGCCAACCTTGAAGTAGAGAGACTCGTCGACCTGGCTCTTCTTCCAGTTAGCGCCGACCAGCACATCATTGAGCACCTTGTACCACAGCAGCGGCAACTGCTTCAGCCCGTAGAGGCTCTTCAGCAGCTTGCACACCCGGCCGGTCCCGTCGTTGTAGTTGTCCGGCTGGACCATGTACAGCATGCGGTCAAGCTTGCTCTGCAGGAAAGCGTTCTTCATGTCCAGCTGCATCAGGTTTGTCAAACATATATGACATAGTCTGTGTAGGCTGTAGTGGGGTAGTCCATATAGGGTACAACACTTCTAGGTTTCCTACTTGTACCCACCTGCTTGCTAGTTCAATCATTCGTTCCTTCACGATTCTGACATGGTATTCTGAGCAGGTTCCCTTGTGGGAACGTTTTTTTTTAGGGCCCACCACGATTAAAACTTTTTTTTTCCTGCCCTGCCCGAAGCGCGCCTCGCGCCTGCCTCACATGCGCCATCGCGCGCCCTGCCCTAGTGCCGCCCGTCGCGGCCCTGCCTTCTCGGCCCGTCGCGGCCCTGCCCTAACGGCCCGTCGCGGCCCTGACCTAGCCGCCCGTCGCGGCCTTGCCCTGTCGCCGCCTCGTCGCGGCCCCGACCTCGCCGCCTAGTCGCGGCCCTGCCCTGCCGCCACCCGCGGCCCTGCCTTGCCGCCCGTCTCGGCCTACCCTAGCCGCCCGTCGCGGCCCTACCCTGCCGCCCCTCGTCGCGGCCCCGACCTCGCCGCCCGCCGCGGCCTCTGCCCTGCCGCTGCTCGTCGCGGCCCTGCTCTACCGCCGCCCAGCCGCGGCCCTGCCCTACTGCCGCCCTGTCGCGGCCCTACTTTGCCGCCGACTCGTCGCGGCCCTGCCCTTCAGCCGCCCCAGTCGTGGCCCTGCTCTACCGCCGCCAAGTCGCGGCCCTGCCCTGCTGCCGCCCCAGTCGCGGCCCTGGCCTCACCGCCAGCTGCGGCCCTGCCCTGCACCCGCCCCTGGTAAGCACCCGCGCCTGGTAAGCACCCGCGCCGCCCAGCCGAGCCGCGCCGCCCAGCCAAGCCGCGCCGCCCAGCCGAGCCGCGCCGCCCAGCCGAGCCGCGCCGCCCAGTCTAGCCGCGCCGCCCTACCGAGCCGCGCCGCCCTACTGAGCCGCACTGCCCTGCCCGCGCTGCTCCTGCTGCTACTGCTGTTTCTCCTGCCACTGCTGCTACTGCTGCTACTGCTGCTACTGCCGCTATGGCTAGCCCTAATGTTCTTACCTTTGATGCTGAGGGGCGTGCGGTTGACTTCGACGTGTGGGTTGACGACCTGCAGCTCTTTCTCCAGTGTGACTCTAAGGACGGAGTCTCCCTTTTCGATCACACGTCCGGTGTCTCTCCTGCACCATGGTGGATATGCCATATCGTACATGGTGGATATGACATACCATACATGGTGGATATGCCATACCGTACATGGAGGATATGCCATACCGTACATGGTGGATATGCCATACCGTACATGGTGGATATGCCATACCTCACATGGTGGATATGCCATACCGCACATGGTGGATATGCCATACCGTACGTGGTGGATATGCCATACCGTACGTGGTGGATATGCCATACCGTACGTGGTGGATATGCCATACCGTACGTGGTGGATATGCCATACCGTACGTGGTGGATATGCCATACCGTACGTGGTGGATATGCCATACCGTACGTGGTGGATATGCCATACCGTACGTGGTGGATATGCCATACCGCACGTGGTGGATATGCCATACCGCACGTGGTGGATATGCCATACCGCACGTGGTGGATATGCCATACCGCACGTGGTGGATATGCCATACCGCACGTGGTGGATATGCCATACCGCACGTGGTGGATATGCCATACCGCACGTGGTGGATATGCCATACCGCACGTGGTGGATATGCCATACCGCACGTGGTGGATATGCCATACCGCACGTGGTGGATATGCCATACCGGACGTGGTGGATATGCCATACCGGACGTGGTGGATATGCCATACCGTACGTGGTGGATATGCCATACCGCACGTGGTGGATATGCCATACCGTACGTGGTGGATATGCCATACCGCACGTGGTGGATATGCCATACCGTACGTGGTGGATATGCCATACCGTACGTGGTGGATATGCCATACCGTACGTGGTGGATATGCCATACCGCACGTGGTGGATATGCCATACCGTACGTGGTGGATATGCCATACCGTACGTGGTGGATATGCCATACCGTACGTGGTGGATATGGATATGCCATACCGTACGTCCCTCCCTCCCCTCTGCACTCCCCGCTCCCCCCTCTGCCTCACCAGTCCCACCGCCACCCAGCAGACCCTTGGCCTCAGCTCTCGCGAGCACAAAGTCTGGGTAGTTGCGGTCGTTGAGGTTGGACAGCCACGTGGCAAACAAGTGGCTCTTGCGGTCGGTGCTCACAATGTGCGGGTACACCACCTCCTCCTTGAACCTCTCCGCCGCCTCTCTGAAGGGCTCCAGTGTGACGAGCGGGTGCGAGGCAGCCCACTTGTTGTACGCGGGGAACATGCACTCCACCAGGAACAGCCCCAGCTCCGGCGCCAGCGGCACATTGTACCGCTTGTCCCTGCAGGGCAGGCAAGGGTGGCAAGGGGTGGAGAGGGCAGCGGAGGAGAGACATGGGGATGTGGGACACTGGGCTGTGGGGCACTGGGCTGTGGGGCACTGGGCAGCAGGGCAGCACATCACACAGCAAGCCATCTTACGCGCAAAACCACATGTAAGCCCAGCCCACAAGAGCACAAGGATGAGCGGGCAACAGGCACAGGATCGCTCACCTCTTGAAGGCATCAGTGAGCATCTGCTCAGGCGCGTGGCCCCTCATGACGGCGAGCACCATGCCGACCATCTTGCGGATCTGGTGCAGCATGAAGCTCTGCCCCACCACCACGCACTTCACGCACTCCATGCCCTCCACTTGGGTCACGCCCTCCGCAGCAAACGACACGATGTAGCGCTTGGCCGCCGCGTCCTTGGCGCTGACCTTCACGGTGTAGTTGTGGAAGCAGTGCGTGCCCACGAAGAGGGATAACAGGTGGTTCAGTCGCTCCAGAGCCTCCGAGTCGAACGTGTAGGGCGGCGGGGTGAACACGGCGGGAAGAGGGGCAGGGAGCGTGGTGGCCTTGGGCTTGTCTTGTGCTTCTGCTGCCTTGTCCTCTGGCTTTTCTGTTGGTTTGCTCCACGGGCGTCATGTTTCTTAGCATCACACTGTACGCCATAAGGGACTTGCTGTAGTACTGAGCCCGGGCGACTTCGGTGTCTTCCACCGGTTTAGATTGGAGCCGTCAAAGTAATGGTAGATCTGTGTTGTTTGTAGGAGGAGCTCTAGCTCAAAACTCCATGTGTAAAAATCCTTGCCGTCAAACGTGGTATTTGTCTTAATCTTGGAGTCGCTAAGGACGCACGCTTGCGCAGAGTTGATAACTTCATCACTTGGACGGGGGGCCGTTGGTGTTGTTTTGTCTGTGTCAAGGGAGAAGGTGTGCAGGGCGGTTTCGCGGCTGTTTGTAGCCGGATGAGCAGGTTGTGCTGGTTGCGAGGAGGTTCCCGCGTCGCCTTTCCGCAATGCTTGGAGGTCTTTCGGACGGCCCTCAGGATCGAACGTAAGGACGCTAAGAGTAGCCATCGCGGGCAGAGCAGGGTGGCGCACGAGCAGCAGGGCAGCAAGCAAGCTCTAGGGGCGCGCGCAGGGCAGGGCGAGGCGGCGCACAGCTAGGGCAGGGTGGCGTAACTGGCAGGGCAGGGCGGCGGCCAGCAAGGCGGCGCGCAGGCAGGGCAGGGCAGGGCGGCGGCCAGCAGGGCAGGGCGGCGCGGCGGCGAGCAGCGCGCGGGTAGGGCAGGGCGGCGCGGCGGCGAGCGGCTCGCGGGCAGGGCAGGGCAGCGCGGCGGCGAGCAGGGCGCGGGCATGGCAGGGCGGCGCGGCGGCGTGCGGCGCGCAGGCAGGGCGGCGCGGCGGCGTGCGGCGCGCAGGCAGGGCAGGGCGGCGCGGCAGCGAGCGGCGCGCGGGCAGGGCAGGGCGGCGCAGCGGCGAGTGGCGCGCGGGCAGGGTAGGGCAGGGCGTGCGCGGGCGGCGCGACGCAGGGCAGGACGCGCGCAGGCAGCGCGACGCGGGGCAGGGCAGGGCAGCGCGGCGCGGGCGGCGCGACGCGGAGCAGGGCGGCGCGCGGGCGACGAGCGGCGCGCGGGCAAAGCGGCGCGCTGGCGACGAGTGGCGCGCAGGCAGGGCAGGGCAGTGCGGCGCTAGTAGGGCGGCGCGACGGGCAGGGCAGGGCAGCGCGAGGCCAGCAGGGCGGCGCGACGGGTGGGGTAACGCGACACGGGCAGCGAGCTAGACGGTGGGCCCTAAAAAAACGGTCCTAGGAGAGGACCTGCTCTGAAACCATGTCAGCAGAATGAACAAGAATGATGAAACTAGCAGCATGCAGGAGTACAAGTAGCAAACCCTAATTGGGTTGTACCCCATATGGGCTACCCGACTATAGCCTACACAACATGATAGTTTGACATTAGCCGTGTCTCCAAAGTGGGGTAACGTCCTGCGGTTAAACGCTTCCGTATGTCTAATTGCAAGGTATTTTGCGTACATCGAGCACTGTCCTTGAGAATCTTAGAGACGGTCGTGGGGCACCGAACTTTTTAAATTAGATTCCAACCATTGAAGATGCTCGTTGTGAGTAATTCCTTCGTTTTTTTTTTTTTCTTCTCGGCGATTGTAAGAGCGGTATTACGTCTCTTAGTAGGCATGGTTGTGGCTACTGAAATGGAGGAGTTAACTAGAATGGTTGCCTTGTGTGGGAAATGAGCTCTCTGGATGTCGAACGGCTATTCTGTGTGCTTTCTGGAGTTGTGAGCAATTCCTATTTTACGTTTTGCGTCAGTGTGGTTTGGTGGGCACAATTCTGTTGTTGAATGTGTGGAGATTCCAACTCGCTTACGTGGCTGTGTCATTTGAACACTTCAAATTTGCTTCTGGTTTCAAGGGCATAATATATCGTCAATATTCGGAGAACCAATGAGTTTGTGCCCCTTGACTTCACTTTGCTTGCGCGCATCAGCCGCACGTTAACTTTCTGCACCTTGATTCTCGAAATCAAGGTGCGGTGCATCTCTGCACGTGCAGTGTATTTCTGTCCTGTACATGCTGATGCGAGCTGACTGATCACAGTGCTGTAAAGCTTGTGTTTACACACATGCCTAAACACATCAGCAGGGTACACCCCTCGAGGCACCCCGTCACCCCAACCACCCAGTTACGACAAAATGCATGAAAATAGACCGATATAAAATGGCGGTGGCTAGGTGTATCTGCTCACTGGCCTTGGTTCACCACAGCCCTGTCCCACGCTCTGGTGTGACAACGATAGCACCGTCCACCTCACCAAAGAAGCCGTCCTTAATAGACGCTCCAAACACATCGAGCTTCACCACTACTTCACCCGCGATCTCGTTCAAGATGGTCACCTCACTGTATTCAAAATACTTATTCGCCAACCTCTTCACCAAGGCCCTCTACCGGTCTAATCATTCTGCGCTTCTACGCATTCTGGGACTTGCTCCTCGCGGTGGTTGGTTTAGGGGTTGTTGCCTTCTCTCTTCAAAGCTTATGGATTTCTGCAGGTAATGGGGTTGTGTCATATTATCACCTTACGGTACATTGTAACCTGCATCTATCCTAAAAGCTTTGGTTAGAGATACACACCCAAACTAAGTTTGGGTGTATAACTATCAGTAGGGTTAATCCTAGTGTGGGGTTGGAACTTAACCTTGGCCCAATTATTTGGCCCCCAAGGTTGGGTTGGGAGATTATTGGTCTCCCCAATAACTCCTCAACCCAACTTATTGGTGGGGCCCAATAATGTTGGCTAGGTTCCCAACCAAACCCTCCCTCCTAACACAACTATGCCCTTTCTATTCCTAATCAATCCATCGGTTCATCTTCACGTTTTGTCACATTAGGTGTTAAATGCAATAGGGCCTTGTTCCTCTAGGACCTCCTTCACCCTAGGCTTCCATGGGTTACACCTAAACCCATTCCGGGGGTGTGGAGGGAGTCCTTGGGCTTCGCTGGGGTACCCTGGGCATCCCCGTAGATCCTTGGGCTTCCCCAGGTATCCCTGGGGTTCCCAGGGCTCCCCAAAGCTTCCTTGGACTTCCCGAGCAACCCATTGACACCTTTAAATCCTGGAGGTTCCAGGCAGTCCCTTTCCTTCCATGTTGATGTTATGGTGGGCCGAAATTTGCAGGCAGTGGGTGGAGAGTCGAGCATTACTTGTGCTCGGACGAGCATGCACCTAAACTCGTCCAAGCATGGCAAAAAAACACGAGTCATGAGAAAATTGCTCGTCAGATTTTTGCTCGACTCGGGGCAAAACTCGGTCAAGCAAGACTATGGACGGGTCGGGTTTTGCTCGACTCATCAGTTTGACCATGTATAATTGAATGGCATGAGGTTCAGGAGCTCCTGAACGGCTGATGAGCTAATGAAAGGGACATGTGAGGGTAGAGAGTGATGAGCCGATAAGGCTCCTATGAGAAACATAAGGAATTATGACGACGAGCTAATGAATTTGCATGAAATGGTGAAAGCATCGCGAGCTGATGAGGCTGGCATGTGATGCAGCATCACATCTAGTTTCGAAACAAAAAATCAACTACAGAACACAAATCACACCAGCAACAACAACGCCAGCTCGTATGAAAGTATTAGGATACTTATGTCCTGGGGTCCTTTAATCATATGCATTGTTCATGTTAGTTCTAAAGAGATGAAAGAAGAGGAGGAGGGGTGAGAAGGGAGAAGGGAGAAGGTAGTGATATGGTATTATGGAAAGCTCCAAACCCTGAATGTCAAGTGCTCAGGCGAAACTAAGAGTAGCATGAAACACAGCACACATCATGAGGTGATGTAAACGTCAGAAGAAATATTGGAAGAGTTATGAGCTGATGAGACTGCGAAGAGAAACTGAACGCATGATGACATGACATGAGCTGATGGGACTGCGAAGAGAAATTGAACACATGATGACATGACATGAGCTGATGAGACTGCGAACAGAAACTGAGCGCATGATGACATGACATGAGCTGATGAGACTTCGAAGAGAAATTGAACGCATGATGACTTGACATGAGCTCATGAGACTGAGAAGAGAATCTGAACGCATGATGACATGACATGAGCTGATGAGACTGCGAAGAGAAACTGACATGAGATGATGAGTCTACGAGGAGAAACCGAACGCATGATGACATGAGCTGATGAGACTGCGAAGAGAAACTGAACGCATGATGACATGAGCTGATGAATCTGGCAAGAAATGGTGAATGGATTTTGAGGCAATGAAACTGGAGCATGATGATATGAAATAAAAAAAAAATCATGGGTTGGTTGAAGCATAATTACAATAGGTGGTGGCTATACGCAGAGTCAAGAAGATGGGAATAGATGGGGAAAGAGCGAGCGTAAATGGAATTCTGGGAATAGATGGGGGAAGAGCGAGCGTAAGTGGAATGCTCAAAACTCCCAACCATGACCTTAGCAAGAAATGTGAACAAATAAAAACAACT